ATGTTTTATCTTATTTTGTCACAGTTAAATAGTTTTATCATTAGGGGTTTTAATTGCACAGAGTTTATAGAATTCTTTCTGATTACTCTATATCCATTTAACTGGAAAAAAACTCCCACTGTACTACTTATAAAAAGAGAACCATCTAATGAGGATGCAATCAAATTGCAGTTGAGCTGCAAGAGGTATGGCCTGACAATTCGTATTGAAAAACCTTTGTCATAAAAGCTTTACAGAGTTTGCAAACAGTGCGGGGAAGAGAAGTCCCTGAGGAGAGCAGAATTAATGTCCTCTGAAGACTGCCAGTCACTCAGGGTCACACCAGAGGTTATAAAGAAAACAAGTAATTACAAAAAGAGAATGAGGAAACCAAGTTGAGCCTCCATGACAGGCCCCACTGCTGTGCCCTTCTTCCTGTCCTCCATCTCTTCGTATCTCTCCCTCACCTCCTCACCTCATCCGTTCCCAGGGTACAATCTCGCCATTCTCCTGCTTTGAAGATTTTCCTTCAAGATTACTCATTTGCTTATCCATATTAGCAATTCTGTTTGAAGGTCCTAACCTAGAGATCCTGACCTGGATTCTTTCTGCACACGTTGCAGCCCGTCCACAATGGCATACAGGTGGTTTCAAAGTCCTTTCAGTTCTTTCTTCTCACTTACATTTGTCACTTTATTTCCATACAAACGGCACAGACCTGTCATTTCATGCTCAGAAACCTCAACAGTCCCAATTCCTTGGCCTGGCATCAGACACTCAACATACTTTGTTCCAATATGGTCCTTTCTTTTCCACTGGGGTAGCTGATTTACTAACACCCAAACACCACAGTATGATGTTTATTACATAATGCATTAATAAATGCTGTAATGGTCTTGACTTAAAAGAGGAAATTTTACTGTTTTGTATGGACTACAGAAAATCTTTAGGCTTGGAATACACTGTGTTGAATAAAGAAATGAGATGATGCCCTGTACTCATCAGCAGATGCCGTCCGTGTTTTACTGTTGCTACATTTTGCTTGACTAAGTAAGGAAAAGAAATTTAATAAGTAGCCCTGCACTTCTAAGGAGTGGGTTATCCAACCAAGATTACCCCCCCATCTGACCCAACCTTGGGAAGCTTAGATCAGATGGTCAGATCTCTCTTTTTGATGACAGATGACATCAAGGGAGGAGAAGAGAGGGTTCATTGTTCACAGCTGAGACTTCAGCAATCGGCAATTAAATTCCACTTATGTGGGTGACATTCAAAGACTTGATTTTACTCTTCAATTAGTCATTCCACGACAGCCCAAACATAAACTTGTCTGTTCATGTAACATGTTCTTACTAAACACCCGTGTGCCAGGTACCCATCCAGCTAAGCACTGGGGCTACTGTCCTCCACAGGACAGACATCCTTCTGATGGCCTGTCTCCACTCTAATGAAACTCATACGTGGTATGGAGTACAGACACCTAGTAAACTCATTTCAAGGACCGTACGTGTTGTAAATGGGAAGGCTTAGTGTCGCTGGAGTGCACAGCTCTACAAGGTTCTGACGGGTTCAGAAAGAACCCCTGAGAAGCTCACACATGCTGCTGCTCTGCAGCCCTGTTCGACCCTCTCCTTGGGCTTTGGCATCATTTCCACTCATCCTTCAGGACTCAGCTTGATTTCAGGTCCTTTGAGAAGACAAACCTGGACTGCTCTTTCTGACTTCCTGGTCCAGCCAAAACCTTGTGTGTTACCTCTATCCTGATATTTACCAAAAGCAGGGGAAGTGTTACTGGTCTCCTCCCAACTGAATGGTGCATTCTTGGAGGGGATCCCTATATCGTCAGGTGCCTCACAAGTTCTTCATATGCTTCGCTGAATACTTATCAAGGGAAAATAGTAAATACTTAATTTCTGCCTAGGCCTTGACAGACAAAGCAAAGGACATCAGGTAATCGTTTTGGAACAAGCATTTTGGGTAGAGGACTGGAGCATGCAGAAGGGCTGGATTACTCAGTACTAAGATTTGGATGCTTCTGAAGCCCACTGGAGTTAGAATGCTTGAATCAGTTCACTAACGGACTAGGGCGTTTCAGTCCTGATGTTGCAGAGGATACTATACCATGACTTTTGGATTATGATAGAAAAGATGCTCCGCATATATAAAAGTAAATCTAAGAAAGCTGGGACCATAGCTATGATTTTAAAAGACACAGATAATACACAGAGTGAAAGCTATATAGACAATAAAAGATTAAAATTACAGCTGATAAGCTTAAATTTGGGCTTTAGATATATATTTTTAACCTAAACATTCTATTATATTTTTAATAGAGCATAAGTTTATTAAAATTAACATAGTTGTTTTAATACTGAGTTTATTAAAAGGAATACAAAGTAATTATAATTAATTCCAGATTATTCGTACATTCCAAGTCTCAGACTAGGAAACAGTGCTATCTAGTGGTGAAATCTGGGAACAAGCGATGAGGCTCACCAAAGGCTGGAGACCGTTGAAGGGTTGGGTTTTATTAGCTAAAGTACAAAGAATGTACAAAGGAGTCATTACCGTAAATGTGGGAAGAGGATGAGACACCAATTCAAAAAGTTGTGCTAAGAGTGCCACACAGCAAAGAAATTAAAAACTTGAACTGGAAATTAGATAGGCCTGGGCATTAAAATATTGCATGACTTTACACAAGCTATTGGGCCTGTTTAATCCTTTATTGTTTTCAACTATGAAATGGAGATAAAAAAAATTATAGGATTATTGAGAAGATTAAATAAGATGATATGCATAAGACATTCAGCACAGTCCTTGGCATTTAGTAAGTCAAATAACTCAGTAAACAATTGGCTTATAATTATATTACTATTTTACTTAGGATATAAATGAATTTCAAATAACTGTAAAAAATCTGATAAATCTTTAAAAATAAGCTATGAGTTCAATATCAGCAAATACGTACTTGTAGAAAATACAAATACCAGACATTAGTTTTCATTTAAGCACACGGAAGCAGATTAAAAAGTAAAATAGATTCAATGTTACACTTCAATCACATAGTTCAGTTGTAGAATTAGTATTTTCATTGAAAACAAAGTAATTTTTTTAGAAACAGAAAGATTGAAAAATGAACTCCAAAATATTATCTCATTCTAAAAATAATCAGTTTCCTTTTCCAATGAAGACATTTTCCTTAACCAAATCCTGCATTTTTCAATATCTAGCATAATAAAGCTATTTGTATACACACAATTCTTAAAGATAAATTTGGTCATTTAGATTTCTTTCTGCTTGGTTAGAAATGTGAAGGGAAAACAGAACCCGAAATATCAATAGAAAATAATTTCTACAAATGTTTGAATCCATTACATTTATATTAAAACAGAGAACTTGATCTTTGTGATAGATCTCCTTTTGCTTGCTGTATAATCTACTAGCTTAATTATCACAATAGCCTTAGAACTTAAGTCATTACACATAGCTTTATAAAAATGCAATGCTCATTTGCTTTTATATAATAAACAGAAATACCACAATTTATAAATAATTATATTTAGTCATTATATCCCAGACATTTTACCAACATTACAGTCACAAGACTGGGCTTCCCAAGGCCAGTCCACAAAGTTATCTTAAATAATTTTCCCCTGTATAATATCTAAAATACTTATTTTAATTTAGCCATAGGGTTAGTATACATGCCACTATAATCATATCACAATTATTGCATTTGGCTATAGTTCTTTTTTTGATGACTTACAATGGGGGCTGGATTGTCTTATTAATAATTTTTAAAAACTGAAGTACATATATAGAAATAAAAAAAGAAATACAATAGGAACTAGAACTATATTGTGGTCACAGCTGTGCTGCTAACTTAACTAGTTCTGGGCTCTTAGCCTTTCTAGGTTTCCATTTACTTATCTACAAAACAAAATAATCTCTAAGGTCCAGAAGAGCTCTACCATGTACTTTTTGCCATTTTATGTCACAAGGACTTTAAATCATAAACCAAAATGGAAGAATTACTTGTCACAATGAACTTCCCTGACTTATTCTAATTCTTTTCTAAAACAAAAACAAAAATATACTAGAAGAAGTTAAAAAGAACTATTTAAAATACGGCTACAGACTTTGATATTTTCTCTCATTTATTAAGCACCTACTATACATAATTTACATTGGGCAGCAAGGACCCACAAAACTATTAAGAGATCATTAGAGCAACGTCTTTTTCTTTTTTACCTGATAGTTATTTTAGTCTTCCATAGACACTTGGCAAAAGTTTCTCTCTTAGTCACATGTTAATACTTCTAGAATAACTCATCAGTACCCCAAAACTCCTGAATGAAATCTGTCAATTTTGTTTCCATTTACAGAGTGAGACTGTCATCAAAGTTTATCGCCATACTTTGGGACAATCTCACATGGAAAAAATAGCACCTATAATGTAGAACCCAAGCACTTAACATGGAGGGAAAAGAATCAAAGTAAATAAAACTCAATTTACATGAAAGGGCACCCTGAACAGAGGAAGAGGGTTCCATGTGGTTGGGTGCAGAAATTTTTGAGATGAGTCAGTCTTAGACAAATTCAGAGACTAAGTTAATTCACCTTTTTAGTGATTTTAGCATATCCTTCCATAATAATATCACATGAAGGTCACATATATTTACGATTTTGCCATAATGCTGATAAAAGTATTTCTAAATGTACTGGCAGATGTGGTAAAGCGGGTGAGAGAGTCAACACTTCAAACTGTATCTTAATACACAGTAAAACAGTAGTACGAGAGCACATCACTTTTGACAACACTGATCAGTAATGTGTGAAGATACATTCAAATAATGGCAGTAGCAGCAGTAGTAGTAGTAGTAGTAAAAATAATAATAATAATGATGATGATGATGATGATGATGATAATGTTGATAATAAAACATTTTCTCAAGACCTGAAAGAAGAACCCGAGATACAACCTCAAGGCAATAGTGTAAGGATGAAATATACAATAAGTTCACAATTTTAGTACACTATTTTCATTATATTGAAACTTAAGAACTTCCAAGCAGTCTACTAAAATCACAGATCAATGGGATAAAAATTAGATAGAAAGAATGTACAATTTATGAATATGGTTTATTACCATGGTTACAAACTTTCAGAACAGGCCTCTGAGACATTGGGCTGAGACTTTGCCGAACATCTGTTAAAAAAATACATAAAAGAAACTTAATATAAAGGTCTGTTCATCTCAAGAAGTATAACAGTATTAGACATACTTTTTACCAAGGTTAAGTATTTCTGGTAGCAAAGTAATGCTTCAACACCCTGAAATACTTGAAGCAGTAATGTTATGACTTTTACTTCCCATTTAATTATGCCACTGTAAACTCCACTGGGATAAGGTACATATGGTTCTTTAGATGAGACTTGTCACACTAATCAGGATTTTCTAGGTTCAGTGCATTGATTTGTAAATGTGCTATTGACATCGGCCAACTGGAATGCATCTTTCTGACATTTGTCAGTGCAAGGGATTAAGCAAACATAGGAAACTTCCAAACAGTTGCTGCCCACAGCACTGCATTCTTGACACATAACTCTAAAAGAATTAAGAAAAAAAGACTTCTTCTCTGTGATAGTTCCTTAGAAAGTAACACGAAACAAGTAGAGTGTTCACCTTTAGGCTTCGGTGTCCTTTTTCTTCTGTCGCGGAAGGCAGCCCCAGACTGCAAGGCCTCCAGCAGACTATCCATCACTCCTGTCTCATCACCCTCTGTGAAAAGAGATGCAGGGAATTCCATCAGCCCTCAGGGTTACCATAGCAATGTCAGAGCACACACAGAAACTGGTGACGGTGGTGGTAGGGGAAAAAAAGATCAGATGCCAAGACTAAGCCAGTAATTTCAAAATAAGACAAGACTTTAACTCTCTAATAAATCAACTATCTTTTAATGAAATCTGTCTCATTAGTGCCTGTGTTGCTGTCCACTAAAGAGGACCAGGTTCCATTGATTCACTTCAGAACACTGCTTTTACAGTCCGATGGCATAATAAGTTTAAATGGAATGTGGGTCTAGTCATGTCTGAGTCTTGGGTTATCATAAATCACATTTCAGTAGAAATGAGCAATTTTCAAGGCATCAACCTCTATTCTAAAATCGACCAGGTATGGACTGTTTTTGTTGTTGTTATTGAGATTGTGCAATCTAACCTTATCATACAAAATTTTATTTCCATGCTAACTTTTGTGAACATGCTCCTAACAATTGATTTTCCATATCAGAAGATAATCGTCCTCTGACTTGAGATGACACAGAACAATCATGACAAAATCTTATAGAATGTATAGGCTTATTTTCTGTAATAAAAAATAAATCAAAAGGGGCTCTCAGAAATCTAAAGGACTGTATTCCATTATGATTAGTTTAAACTGACATTCTGTGTATAATTAATGAAGGTTACGGATCTGGAGTCAGATCTCTGTACAAAGAACAGATTCAGCTTGTAATATTAATAGGTGTTTATAGTCATAATGCTAAATATTATCCAAAGAAAGCAAGAGAAAAAGCTTCAGACGAATTACTGGCCCAATCCCGGTTCGGGGAAAACCCTATGGACTTTTTGCCCTTCCAGAAAAGGTAACCTGTGGGCATTTTCTAAGAATTCTATGGCTGGTTTACTGCTATGTTTAAAATAATAGAAAGTTATTTTCCTCTGGGTTTTTGTTTTCCTTTTTGAGACATAATCCATTTATAGAGAACAGCTGACATGTGAACACATAGACTTCAAATAACATACTCATTTACAGTTTATAAACAGATATATACATCTAAATATGTATCAGCCCATTTTCCATCTGGTTCTATCTCATAATTTTAGAAGAGTACTAAGTCTTGTAAGTGTTATCAAAAGAGGTAGGTGAGAAATAGAGTATTTGAGGTTGTTAATTTACATATAAATTTAATTCTAAAGTGGTCTGATAGCTGTTTTAATTCAAATAAATTAAATATTTCAGACAGTTTAATAAGTTGCTATCCAGCTATTTATACTCTAACTCAACTATATTTTTTCTAAAACAAAACAAAAAAAACCAAAAAGTCAGCAGGTAACATCAAATATTTAAAGAAGTAAAAGAAAACATTTAAAAATCTAAAGTTAAAATTTTAAATCTTTTTCAAGCAAGTATGAGATTTTTAAAAATTCTAATATTGAAATAAAACAGAACAAATGAACATGTTATCATATTAACAGCATTAATTATAAAGGAGAAAAAAAATGAACCTAAGTAAGAATACTTTAATACATATATCTTAAGGAAAAGAACACTACAAAGAAAATGTAAACTTTCTTCTTAATAAATTTGTTTCTGGTAGTGGTACTGACGTAGTGGCTCTGAAGTTATTGTGTATATACAAGAGTGAGCCAATGGATAAATATGTTGATGCTGTTGGCAGTGGGGGTACTTACTGTGGGAAAGAAAATACAAATAAAGAACGGCAGAGAAAGAACCATGAAGAATTGAGTTGGATTTACAAATATCAACATAAGCTCACGACTTCAAAAAAATATTTTCCTTAGCTTTGTGGAACAAAAGAGTTCAGAAACAATGATCCTGCGGTATCAATGAACACATCTACCCCTCATATCTTGGATTTTAAATACCATTACTCACTAAAAGAAACCAGAACACTTAGATCACTTAGAGAAATGGCTGACTTCTAGCCATGGAATAAGAAATGAGTCAGAAACATATTGTACGAGAAAGTAAGTGCTCAAAAACAGGGCTATGTTGAAAGGACAGAGAAGACAGAATAAAGGGCTGTCTTGGTCAAATTTAGGACAATTGTGTATTAAATAAATAATGATGGGAATGGATTCTTACACATTGGGAAAAAGGATTATGCACCCATACCAATACTAAAAGACAGTAATAAAAATGTGGGAAGGAAAAGTTCTTCTTTACAGAGGAATGTCTGCAATAGATGTCAAAGATATGAGAAAAATAGTAAACTCACCATATTACATCTCACATAGTACGAAATGATCATGAAGAAACCATCAATTGTTGCAAAAACCATTGTGTGTATTGTGTGTAAGGCCGTGGAGGAACAGGACATGGAAAAATTTAGAAGCTACCACTTTACCCAAATAATCAAATTTGATATTATCGATAATGGGACTGACCTACTGACATCAACTGCCTCCTGAAGTGACGCATAACATGACCTGTGTAGTACTTTGCACAAAAATATTTAACGTGAATCTAAACGCAAGTAAACCATCATACAAATCCAAAGCCTGGGATATTCTGTGACATAACTAGCCTAGGACCTAAAAACCTATCAGTATCGTGAAAGATCAAGAGAGGAAGGAAGGAGAGAGAAAAGGCCAGCAAACTATTCCAGACTAAAGGAGATTAAAGAGACGTGACAATGAAATACAGCAAAGTCCCTGATTAGCTCCTCTTCAGGAAAAAGTTACAAATGACATTATTGGGATAATCTGGGAAATTTGAGTATGGACTGGATATTAGATAACTATATTGTACCAGTGCTAAGTCACCAGAGTATGATAACTATATTATGGTTTAGTAGGATAATCTCATTGTTCTTAGGCGATAGACGCTGACAGGTTTAGACTCACTAAGCAACTTCAACAGTTTCACGCTCTCTATTTCATGCCTTTGAACATGCTGTTCTTGGCACAAAACATCTGTCTCACTTTCTTCACCAAGCTAGCTTTTACTTCTCCTTCAAGACAGAGAACTGAGAATGCTTCCCTGACTCATGTGGGCAGAATTGGGTGCCCTTCTGTGTCCTAAAAGCATGTAGTAAACATAGCAATAAATGCTTTACGATATTGTATTGTTTACTTGACTATTTCTACCACTAGACTATGAGCTCATAGGGGACAGGGGTTATAGATTTCATTTACTTTAACACCTAGCAAAATGAAAGTGTTCAATAAATTTATGTCGACTACTGACATAAGTTGATGATACCACAGTGATACCATACGGTCATAAAATGATGAAAATGGTCAGAAGGACTAACCCTCCAGGAGAATGACCCAAAGATGAGCAGGGTTCTGGGAAAGTGCTGGGAGGACATTCCCCCACTGATGTAAACAACACAGTTTTGTTTCTCCCTTTTCCCTTGACTCATTTGTCAAATTTTGTTGACTGAAACTCCCCAATATCTTCTGAACTGACCAGTGATTCCTTTGTCAACTACACTTTCTCTTGGCAGAACAGAAATGAATTCTCACTTGGGAGGAAAGTGCATGAATTACTGGAGATGTCAGGTTTCCTAGTGAAGATCAAGTGGAAGTTAGCTGTGGCAGGGACTGGGGAGGGTACAGCATTCTTGGCAAAAGAAATAGCAGGTACAAAGGCAAAAGTTATGAATAAAAACAAAAAGTGAAGTAAAATAAAGTGTTTACATGATTCATATTTACATTATTATAACACAAACTAGAGAAATTAAAATCGGTCATTTTTATTGTGGCCTAGAATTCAATTTCTCTAACTACAAGTCGATTTGTATTCAAAATATTTATAGCCTCTCTTCTGCTGTGAAAACTCTTAAATAAATAGACTACAACAGTCAAAGCCTTTCTCTATCTGAATTGACATATCACCTTGTTTAATGTGTAAATGGTATTTTAGAAATCGCCTGGTGTCAGGGAAATGGAGACCTGAGAGTTAAGGATGAGGTATTTCTAAAGCAGAATCAACAGGGCTGGGGACAGAAAGAAGATGGAGTTGCTGAGAACTCGTCTGAGGCTTCTGGGGCCCAACTGGAGGAGGAGAATATATGAAAAAACTTAAAAAATCTTATTGATTCTGGGCATGTTTCCTTTTGGGCACGATAGCAGACGGTGCTGGCAGGGACCTCCAGGTAACTCCTGCAAGTTACTGGAGATGCTGGTCTCCAATTCAGACAAAACAGTGGGCAATATTTTTGGAAGTAATTTCCATATTGCAAAAAATACTTTTCAGCACTCTGGAAGTTCATATGACTGAATCAGGAGAGGTGGCATCTTGGTAACCACCTAAATCAAAAGGGCAGGAGAAGAAATCCTAAGTCAGTGATCTGGCAGGAATACTCTTTCCCTTATTCCATTCTCTTCAGCCAAGGTATGACACTGAAATTTCATATAACTAAGGATGTAAAGATGCTGAAGGTTCTAGAAAGCTGAAAACAAACCAACCAACCAAAACAGCTCATGTACATAACAAGAAATCAGAACCAGACTGAATTTCTCGACAGCAACACTGAATTGCAAAAGACAGGCAAGACATGGTTTCCAAATTCCAGAGAGAAATAATTTCCAGTGAAGAAACGGTTACGTTGTCAACAAGATGAGGACAGAAAATGGATACTTTTCAAACATACAAGTGTCTACACATGCTTTTTTAGAAAAAGACTAGAAGATGTGTTTTGTAAAACAGGAGGGATGGTCAGAAAAAGCAAAACATGGGATCCAGAAAGGCGGAAGGGACGACAGGGCAAAGTGGCAAAAGGATCTCTAAGGTGTCCAGGCCCAGGACAGCCAGTTCAGATCACATGGGTCACATGGAGGAGCTGGGCTGCAGAACTCAGAGCAAATCTGTGGTGGGCCCACCTGCAAAAGCGATTGCTGGTTATTTCATAGGTCTATCTGAGGGCTTGAACAAAACAGTAACACGTATATATGGACGAATGCCCCACAATTGTTTTAAAACTTTGTATTAACCTAGAAACAACAATGTCATCCAATAGGAAATGCCAT